ATTGAAAAGAGGAAAGAAGAGACGAGGGTTAATTTGAGGATGTCCATAATTCGTAGTTTTCTTTTTCTTTTTCTTTTCTTGTTATCAATTATCGATTTATCATAGCCATCTTTATTTAACTCTAGAATTTAATGGCGAAGAGTTTGACCGCTTTGGAAACGATATTATGTAAATGAACGTTTCTATTCCGCCCTTTCGAGATTCCAATGAGAATTGCACCAAACTCTTAAAGAATTTGGATACCATTTTCAGGGTTGGAAAGAGGAAAGAGGTGACGAGAGAGGTTAATTTGAAGATGTTCATAGTTTCCTTTTTCTTTTTTCTTTTTTTTTGTTATCTTTAATTCTAGAATTAATTTAATACCATTTTCAGGGTTGAAAAGAGGAAAGAAGTGACGAGGGTTAATTTGAGGATGTCCATAGTTCGTAGTTTTCTTTTTCTTTTTCTTTTCTTGTTATCAATTATCGATTTATCATGGCCATCTTTATTTAACTCTAGAATTTAATGGCGAAGAGTTTGACCGCTTTGGAAACGATATTATGTAAATGAACGTTTCTATTCCGCCCTTTCGAGATTCTTATGAGAATTACACCGAACTCTTAAAGAGTTTGGATACCATTTTCAGGATTGAAAAGAGGAAAGGAGTGATATAGATTAATTTGACCATGTCCAATTCATAGTTTCTTTTTTTTTTTTGTTATAAATTATTTATCGATTCGTGACCATTTTTATTTAATTCTAGAATTTAATGGTGGTGAGTTTGACCGCTTTGGAAACGATATCACCGCGCAGAGAACGAAGAGTGAAATAGATGAAGAATATTGATTAATCCCATGTTTTTTTTTTTTTTTTATTGTCTTTTCCAGCTCTGAACGATACTTTATTATTGTTTAGGGAAAAAGCGAGACGAGACAGGCTCGATTATAGTAATTTCATTTGCGATACGAGAGGAATATAAGCGTAGAGCTTTCGTATCGATTATTGTATGTTTCTCCGGCTTGCATTTATGAAATTTATATTCATCGCGAAAGCGAAAGTAAGGAACGAATCTTTTTTTTTTTTTTTTCCTTTCTCAAAAATTTCATCGAATTTCTAAAGAATATTAAATCTCTATTCTCAAGAATAGAGGTATTCTAAATGGAATGGCGAAATGCCTCCAAGTTTTAAGCTTGGCTCACGTAACTCGTGGTAAGTATATCGATGCGTGTTAGGGGTGTTTGATAAGGGTGGTGAACGCCTATGGGTCGTTCTGCGCATGGGTCGAATGGGGTAGGTACGGGATTGGGTATGATATCCGCGGTTGACGCTTCGATCGAGTCCAGAAGTGGCCGTCTTAGAAAGTAATTCATAGAACGTTCTCGGTTATTACATAACCAAGGATTGACAACCAATGAATTTTTATAGAATGACTACGGGGAGAAGCAACGAAGAGTATCTACTTTTAATTTATAAAAGTGTTTTATAATAATTTGAAAATATACTTTTTTAAAAATAAATAAAATAACAACCAAGGATTGAAAATGGATTTTTATAGAATGACTATAAGGAAAAGCAACGAAGAGTATCTACTTTTAATTTATAAAAGTGTTTTATAATAATTCGAAATATACTTTTTTAAAAATAAATAAAATAACAATCAAGGATTGACAATGGATTTTTATAGAATGACTATAGGGAGAAGCAACGAAGAGTATCTACTTTTAATTTATAAAAGTGTTTTATAATAATTTGAAAAT